TGTGATTAGGGCTAGGAAACAATATTAGTCTCGTTTATTTACTGTACCACGGTGACCTGTAAAACCATTTTGTTTCTGAGTCAAATACTATTTCAGAAACTCTGTCCTAGGCAACCAAGACTTAAATTTCTTAACGACTGCGACCACTTGTTTAACCAGAAATTCAACATAAAATTATATTCTTTTGTTTTCTGTTTCTCATAAGTGGCCACCAGACATGATCAGGTATGACTGTAAGAAAACCATTGCTTGAATGTTGCAAAAAAACCGTATTTGATAGCCTTGACCAAACATGCTCACAAATTATATCTTACAAAAAAGACAGCTGCATTATATGAACTGCAATTTAAAAAGTGGATAGTAACATTGATGCAAAATGTTACGTAGAAAGTTTCAACAGTTCCAAGCGCTATTCGATGTAAAGATCTTAGCCAGTTGTCTAATTGCCTAAGTTTTAGCTATTGAGTTTAACAACTTAAATATATATAAATTATGTATATATAAATTATGTTAATTATTTTAATTATGTTAAATATACATAAAAAATACAATTATGTTAAATATATATAAATTATGTTAATCATTTCAGTTTGAGCTTATTATCTTGATTTTTCTCACAGACGACCACCTCCCATAAGCAACCACTTTGTTGTGTACTGAGGGTGGTCGCTTATATGAGAGAGTTGACTGTATTTTAAATGGCAGTTCTTCCACCAGGAGAAAGGTTTGACTTTAATTCAACCACATACCTCTTGGGCACTTCACTGTTTCACACTTGATGCACTCTGAACTTTTACTCGAAGAAAAAAAGAAACCTTGTGAACTTGTATCTTTCTGATATCCAGCAGGACAAACTTTGACACATTTCTTACTTTCATGAGGAATTTCAAGTTTTAAATAATTACGTGGGCAACTTTCTACACATTTGAACCCGTCAATCTAAAAAGAAAAAAAATCACTTTGTTAATACAGTTGATTGAACTTCTTTAAGGTTAGTTTTAAATATTCAATTTGAATTTCCCAGATTTAAAACTTCCTATTTCAAACTTCCCCAGAGGCCTTGTGACCAGCAATACAATAAGGAAAAGTGTTTTGAACTATTTTTGTTAGGAGTTAAACCCATTCGCCCCTGAACCGCCTGTAACCGCCCGTGCGGATCCAGGTCCTTTCTACCCTTTGTGACGTCATCAGTTTTAATGGTCAAGGACAACTTTCCTCGCTAACTTGTGCAGAGTGAAGAGATCTTTCAAACCATACCAGAATGAACACAATTGAGTCAAGGACACCGGAGAAAGAAGCAAAAAACCACGTGGCATTGACCTGAAAATCTCCATGAAAATCTTGTTCCATTGCTCACCTACCTTTCCTTTCACCTTATCCTAAGATCCTAAAAGCTTTCCTAATATATAGAGGGCTAAAAGCTAAAAGCGAAGCTCCCATTAATAAATTTATAACTTAAATCAAACAATAAACTTGTAATGCACAAATCAGTTAACTTAAGGGCACATATGTGTCTTTTTAGGGAAAGCTAAGGCTAAGTGATTTTGGAGTGAAAAAAGATCTTACATCGAATTGATAGCCGTATATATACACCCAAAAAATAGCAATCATCTTCGATCACATTTAAGAGCCATAATGGCTCCTCATACCAGTAGATTAGGCATGGAAAACGAATTCTTGGAAAATAAATCAGGCCGAATTTTTGCGGTCGACAAGTTTACTCAACAAAATCTTGCCAACAACTCTGGGTGCGTGTAAACGAACATTTCATACTTTTTATACATCACACCTGAGGTGAAACAGTGATATGAGGCGCTTTTTTTATTATACAGACCTCAGACAAAATGCAGTATTTCACAATTTTTTAAGACGAATTGCATCCATTCAAGTATCCAGAACCGTACGAAGCACGCGTGGGCTTTTAGCAAAACCGTTAAAAAAATTTCCAGAATCACCCATACGGCCAGCCGGTTCTCACTTTTGACAAGCGTCAAATTTTCAGTGAACATTAAAAGAGTTACGCTTCAACACAATAAAGAATTTACTGGGTTTATTTTTTTTTATTTAATGGTTTTATAACGATGTGCAATCTTAAAAAGCGTTTGATACGCGCGGCATTTTGAGTACTCCTGCAAGCGATGTTTATGAACGACTGAAAACAAACGGCAAAGCGATTAAAATTGCAAGAGACTACTAACAATCAATAAAAGAAATGTAATTCGGTGAAACATTTACAGAGACAACAACAAGCTTACATCAAACCTCATACTAGATCAGTGTCTCAGATCTTATACAAAGGTGCATAAACTAGCCTCATAAACTGCGCTCGACTTCATCAAATTAGATACAAAAAAACACAAACACATACACTTTATACAATAATTACTCAGGCTTACCATTCGAGATGCAGCTCCTGAAAGCTATCAAGTAAGGCCAGAATCGCTTGAGGGACTTTTCAACCCGGCAGCAAGGTGAACTGAACGAAAACGATGTCATCCGA